TGTTCTGTGTGCATCGCTCTAGGCAACTTACCCACTTGGATGTTATTTTATCTTTCTATAGTGTGCATTAGAAAGGAAGATATTTTGGCATCTGAGAACAACATATAAGGTGCCGTTTCACATGGCATGATGGCTGATGCTCACCTGCCAGCGTGTGGGTCAAATCATTTAAAGGGAATGGCCCAGAGGACTCGGCTGTGTCCACGTACAGGGATTGCTTACCCATATTCCTGAATCTAGCTATTTTCTTCCATTTCAGTGGGTGTAACGAAAGGAAAATAAAGTACTTGTTTCATTTTCTTTTTCCTCCATCAAATCTGAAAAATATCAGTTCTGTTCCCAGAGAGAGTCCTTTCATAACCACTTAATTTGGGGAAAATAGCACATTACAGAACCAAACTAAAAAGTTGCTTGGTTTTTTTTTTTTTGCAAGAATTGATTGGCCTCGGTTTCCCTCACTATTGCCTCCAGCAACAAGCAGATTAGGCAGAACTGCCATACAAATAGCTCTTATCTTGCTATGCATTGCTCTTTGCAGCTGCCTGTTGGACTCATGCTGTCAAAAGCTGAACTTTTTATCTTTCACTTGGTAAGAATTAGTGGTTTTCTGCTCTCAGGCTGCACAAGAACTATTCAAAAAGACTGAACTTCCATAGGATCAGTGTGTAGCACTGATAATCCACTATCTCTGGTCTCCCATCTGTTAACTGCTTCTCAGTCTGTGTATCCTGCTCAGTGTTTGAAATTCATTGGATAGAGTTTTGTAGTGAGCAGACTTCAAATCGCTGTGGCTTCACTTCTTGAATTTGATTCAAGAAAGAAAGGACAGGTCAAGAAATAAAGACAGCCTCTTATGCTTAAGCATTTGATGGAATAGAAGTCCACTAAACATGTCCAGTGGCATAAAGCCAGATTCTTCTTTGCTTGTTATCAGTCCCGTGTTAATGTAAAGCACTGGCAGAACCCAAGTGTCTCTTGACTCCTTGGGGTAAGATCTTAAAGCAGCTTGGACTCACCAGGGCCTTAGTGGGAATATGACCTGTAAGCACTGTTGCACCCTGGCATCTTTGAAGGGACATTTCTTTGGGAGGTCATTTTCTTGTGTTGGCATAATAGTGAAGAGTATTGTCTGGAATAGGAGAATCTCAGATAAGTATTATCTCATTTTTGCCCAGCAGAGCCAAAGAGCTGGGTGAAGCAATGCCATATGAGAAAATTGTCTGAATGGAAAAAAATAACTCTTTTCAAAACCTGCAGGTTTTATTCTGGAACCCTGCTGCTTGTTTCAGGGATGGCTCTGTTGCTGCTCATCCTTCCTCTGTGGCTTTTCAGCTTTTCTTCTAAGATCTGGTGCAAAGTCAATGGCAATTTTCCTGTTGGCTCTGAGGGGGCTTTATATCAGCACTTAATTGATTTACTAGCTCTCTTCCTAAAGCAGCTACACATATACATTATTAGATACACATGATACGTTAATCATGCCCTCAGATTGCCACATCTAGGTTCCTCAAAATTGGAGGAATTTCATTCAGTCTCCTCTGGCCTGGGAGAGGCTATTTCCTCTCCTAGAGCAATTGAACATTGACTGTGTGGTTTTACTAGTTTTGTTCTGCTTTATCTGCTGCATGTAGCAACCTTACCTGGTAATATTAATCATGGGAAATGTAGATTATCATAAAGATGAAACATGTACTGGCCTTAATATTTGTCTGGCCAGTAAAGATGGCTGCAAGCAGACTTCTTTCTTGTAATTTCTCCTTCATGTTATATACTTAAAGATCACAAACTTTTCTTGTGTATCAGCATACCCTTTCACTTCTGCTTCTAAAAGCATTAAATTGGTACTGTAGTTTTCTGGAGGTATATTCTACATTTTTACTGTCTTTCCTCCCACAATCAATAAGCCTTTGCAGCAAAGTCTTATTTTCAGGTGATATGTAGATAGTGGCTGCAAAGCTGTTGTATGCAATGATGCTTAGGAGTTTTGATAAGGTGGTACATTTTTTTTTTTTGAGGGAGAAGCAATGAAATCCTGAAAACCCCAAGGTGATTTTTCTGTCAAGCAACATTTGAGACTCAAAATCTTATATCAGAACCAAGAGCTTTTGCTGAACATTTGAACTTAATAGGTATTTATTTTTATGCAGAAAAAGTCCTGTGCAAGTCCTCACTGAATAATAAAGTAACTTTTTTTCATAGCATTAGGTTGCACTTGTAGACAGTTGCACAATTTCACTATTTAAATCCTTTTTAACGGTGGTTAATCCTTCAGTCTTTGATTCAGTGGGTGACTGCCATTTGTAACACCCTTATGGAGAAGGAGAGGAAAAAGAGAAGGGGTGAGGGGTTAAGGAAAAATAATAAAGTGTCAGGATAGTGTGAGAAATGCCCTGTGGAGGTGGCAACATTTCTGCAATTAGCAGTGTGAAAATGGTAGATTGGTTAGCGATCTCCATGCATTATTGCATTATTGCATGCTGTTTCTCCAGCAGAAGTGAGAGCTGCCCACTGTGTTCTGTCCAGACACGGGCAGCCTTCTTATTTTTTTTCTTTGTTTTGCTTCCCAGCTGGTCACTTTATCTGACACACTGGCTTCATTTCAAGCCTGGCTGGGAAAGTTGTCCTGGGCACTCACCTAGCATCAGCAATTCCTTTTGCTTCCCAGCCAGCTGCTTGATTGCCATGTCTGAGATGAGATTGCCCCAGCTAATCCCCTGTTTGCATGGCAGAGCTGGGACTTGATGGCTTTAGGTGTTGAGAGATGGTTGTCCCACACCTATTCTGTCTTTTCTGTATATTAACTTCTGTCAAGTTTGCCCTTAGCACACACACAGACAGATGTGGTTGAGCAATAATCTTCCCTCCTGTCCTTGTAGCCAGTTTGGTCTGCCCATGTTATCTCCCTGGTGCAAAGAGGGACTTACCTCCCCCTAGAAACAGGGCTGACCATATGTACCTGTCTCCATCATGACTTTCCCTGCGCCAGAGCTGAACTTACTCGGAATATATTCTCAGCTCCCCTCTTCCCCCATACCAGCTAACCATCAGCCTCTCTGCGCTCATTACAACTTCGTGATCCTCCCTGTCACAAATCACTACATTGAGTTTTTAGCCCTGAGCACAAAGGAGCCAATATTGTACCTGCTGCACTCCACTTTGCACCTTTCCCTCAATCTGGAGTGCTTTGAAGCACAGCTAATGAGAATTTAATAATGACACCATCTGGGTGCTAAACTGCATCTTCTCACACAATTTGTCCCAGTAACAGTGCTGGTTTAAGGTGATACATGCACAAATATGCCATAACACAGAATTGCTGCTATAACTTGTTATGCTGGTACAAGAACATCCTAGATTGCTGCTAACTGTTCTTGCGGCACTGGAGTATCAGCGGATAAACTGCACAAAGCACAGACATCTGAAGCTATAGCGAGTAGCTGGCTAGGAAAGGCCTTAGTGAATTTCCAGAAGGAAACAGCAAAGAGCTGCCTCTGGGCTACATTTCATTAGTGAAACATCTCTACAGTGATCACCTGTAGAGAAAACTGCTTAAGCCCAGTCCTTCCTCTGGGAATACCACCTGGTGCAATATGAGTCTGTTCTGTGCTTCCCAATTCAGTTTCCCTGTGCAGCTTTGCAGGGCGGGTCCCAAATTCTCACTGGATTAATTGGGAGAAAGATGATGTGAAATTCAAGTTTACCAAAAGATGGGGCTAGAGACCTCCTTCCCCAGGAAAGATGCTGCCCAGCTGGCACCCTGAGTACCTGCCTCTGAGCCCTAAGGCAGCTCTGGAGTCCTGTTTACCAACAGATAGTGCAAGAGTACTTCACATTTTCAAGCTGTCAGGCTTCAAGGAGCTATTATGTTAAAAGGCAAGTGTGGGCATCTGTAGAGCCATTGTATTTGTACTTCAGTAAGACAGGACAAGACATATTGGGCCTCCTGGATATATATGTTTAAATTCTGATTTATTCAAGCAGGAGGGGAAAGCATCCTTGTGCATGCTTATTCAGTAGCGGCACAAAACAAAAACTAATTAGGTCAGTTCAGCACGAAGGGGAGCTATAATTTGCTTGCAGCTCAGCCATTAAAGTAAAAACTAGTTTATTATGCTAGATAAAAGCATGCTACTATAATCACCCTGTACAATTAGCCCTATATTGCTGCCAAAACAATGTTTTCTTGATTAGTTCCACAGATGCCCAAGGGCAGGTGTCTCGAGGTCTTTTACAGCTCTTCAGTTAGATGCATTCAGAGATGTAGGTGAGAACAGGCCAATGGCTCCTTGTCATCTTGCATTCACAAGGACCCTTGCATACAGTAGATTATTCTTTTGAGAGAATAAATGTTACTTGTCAGCCCAGCTCCTCCATCTTCAAAGCACCTTAGCAATATTGAAAATCTAGCTGGATTTGTTCTGAAGTTGGTTAGAATTGCTGTCTCCCTGTGTAACATCATTTATCTGGCCAAAGTAGAGATGGATTGACAAAACTGCTGTGTGGAAGAAGGAAGCTTTCTTTATCAATGCTTTCACAATATAGATTTTACAAGTTGACAACAGCACTTAATCTCTGAATAAGCAAAGTTCCAAACAACTGCAGTTCATCTTAGTTCACAGGCTTGTAGTGAAATGTTGCTATATTATAACAAACTGGTAAAGCTAGCAGCTTGAATTTTCAGGGCTGTCCTGCTATGATATGTGCTCTTATACATTCCTAGGTTGTTTGCTCTATATGCAGCCCTTAAAGGCAAGCACATACACAAGCCCTTGCAAGATCTGAGTTTGAGTTAGGCCTCCAGCTCCAGTTGTTCTGGGAATTGGGTACCTACGGCTTAAGCTGTTTTCAAAATCCTATCAGTTTCTGTATTCTCTATTAACCTGCTGAGACAAAACTGATAGCAAGATACATTTGCACTGAACTGTTTCTTCCGTGATGTAAGTGCTTATATTCAGAGCAGTGGAGTCATTTTTAATATGGCCACTCTGTTCTTCTACTAGGTGCAAATATCATCAATGTCTCATCACAGGAAAGATGGAAAGAGAAGTTGATGGCAACCTTAATTCTCTATTTCCTAGAGGCTTAAATTGGTTTAAGACCTTTCGCACTCCTGGGGTGATTTCTGGATTTCAGCCTTCAGGGAGGAGAGGTCAGCATGAGTTTTACAGCAAGTAATTTGTTTGAAAGAATGCTGTCAGGGTTCATAGACCCACAATTTGAAATATTCTGCTGTTTGCAAAGTTCACATAATTCTTTGTGTGCTGTTTCTAACCAAATCTATCGGAGCTTGTCTTCCTAAAAATAAATCAGCAGATGCAGCCCAATATGTCTGAGCTCCTCTAGAACATATACTCAGTGCACGGTATCTGAGACACATTACTATGAAGAACTGGGAAAACATGCCTTTAAAGTGTTTGTAAGTATCTGAGCATATAAAACCTGCCAATTTGTGAACCTCCACATTGAAGACTTGAATCAAGACAACCTGATAGTGATTAGCTTGAATCCTAAGCGTCTGCACAAGCAATAGATGTGTTTTTTACAGAAGTGTTTGCTAATTGTGATTGGCTTGGAAGGATAAGTCACAATTTCTTTTAATTTTTACCTGGTAGATTTAGTCATGTTCATTGGTGGAAAACTGAGGAAGAGAACTCTTACCTGCTGTTAAACATTGGAAGCAAAGACATTACATGTCTCATTGACTTGTTAAAGACAGTTTTGGATGAGAGCTGGTCGCTACTCAGGCAAAGAAGCTAGCAAAGCACATGGAAAATTTGGTGATTCCAACTACACCAGAAAGGATAATGGCTAAGAATCGAACTTGGAATCAGTGTGGAGAGTAAACTAAAAGCAGGGGCAATTTAGAAATGGATATGAGGTATTCTGTGAGCAGCCTGGGCAGCCTTGTTACCCCAGGCAGTCAAGGAAGCGATGGGGTCGCAGACAGCAGGATCTTCCTTCCTGGGCAAAAATATGATGTGCCACCACATTTGAGTCTGGAAACAGCTGAAGAAAACTAATCTGACCTTCTGGGTCACATAATAAAGGAAGATAATCACTTAAGGAGGAAAATACATTTTAAAAAATGCTTTAACAGCATCTGTTGATAGCAGCAGCACTATTTCTAGTGAAAATGTAATAAGCTACAAGATTAAATGTGTATCATCTTTGCACTATGAAGCAGGCTGAGGTACAGGGTACAGCAGAGATTTGCACAAATATGTGAGAAAAAGCAATGTTGTCCGGGCTTCAAGCTCAATTTCTGCTATTCAGATACAAAAAACTATCTAAATCCTATCTCACAGCAGACCAGGACAAGGTCAGTTAATCACAGTGGAGCTGTGGAGCAATGGAAGGGTTACTCTGATATATACTGCTCAGAAACGAGAGCAGACTTGCCAGAGTTTTAGGTGAAGCAACGATCAGCTATCTCACAATGCTAACAGCATCTATGTGTGGGTGACCATGCGGGAGGCAAACAGGGAGAGATGGAGCCCTTGCTTGGCTAGACTTCTAGGCAGAGGGCCATTGTGAGGTTGAGTAAGGATTTACTTTGCAGGGAGTGAAAGAATTACTAATTGTAGAGTCCTGAACTGCAATTTAGACTTGAACCATGTCGAAGAAGCCAAATTTTTCTAGGAGGATGACAGTGATCAGTTAGGGCAGAGAATTTTAAAAAGAAAGAAGGTAAGGGCTGAAAACCTGAGTTCTGTAGGATGCAAAAGCCTCAGAGGGGAGAAAATCCCAGATAGATAATAGAGGCATATTCACCTAAAATTTGCATTGTTGAATCCGATGGGGTGAAAAGACTCTGAAATTATTATGTAACTACATGTCTCAAATCAGACTCAGTTATGCCTCTGTCACTCCTGGCAGATTTCTGTTTGCCTGTTGCTAAAGGTTGTTCAGCAATGAAGCTTCACAGCCTCTGGAGGAAGTCTTCTCTGTAGCTTTACTACCAATTGAAAACCTTTCCTAATGCCTAACTTAAAACAGCCTGCAGTAATTTGAGCCAATTCTTGTCTTAGCACACATACAAATAGACTGTCCCTTTGTCCTTGCAGCTCTCTTCAGTATTTGAAGACTGGAATATTCTCTCAATTTTCTCCTTTATGTACATTAATCTTGTTAGAGATCAGATTTTTCTAGACTTCAGGCTGTGCTTGTCTGCCTGTGCACACTCTCCACTTGATCAGTTTCTTTTATCCTGAAGTCTAGCCTCCAAACTGTGTGAGCAGAGATGACTCCAGCCACAGCTTTTCCAGGAGTGAATAGAAATAGTACAAGGTTCTCAGACTCTCGATCCGTGTATCCCTGTTTGAGATTGGTCTGTCTTAGCAGGGTGCAACATTGTTTTATTGTGATTCACTATTGCTCCCCGATAGCTGCAGCTATCAGGATCTGGGGATAGGTGCAGGAGACTCCCAGTCCATCTTTAGTCAATGGAGAAAGCAATGCTTCTACAGAGGGCAATCCCATGTATTTCAGCATCATAAAATCATTTGTTGGAAAAGACCTTTAAGGTCAAGTCCAACTGTTAACTTAGCACTGCCAAGTCTATCATTAATTCAAGTGCCACATCACATCTAAATACTTTCAGGCATGGCGATTCCAGCTACCCTTCCCCAAGCCTGTAGCATTGCATAGGGTTGTTGTGACCCAAGTGCAGGACTCAGCACTGGGACTTGTTGAACCTCATACTCTGTAGAGCTTTTTTCACCCTCTAGCAGAGCAACACCCCTGCCCAACCTGGAGTCATATACAAACTTACTGAGGGTGCACTCAATCCCCTTGTCCAGACCATTTGATAAAGATGTTAAACAGAACTGTCCCTGATATGGAGCCCTGGGGAACAGGGCTTGTGACCAGCCACTAATGGGATTAATTCTGTTCACCAGAGTTGAAGGGTAGAGGCAATCAGATCAAATAGTTTAGTCATGCTGAGCTGGCTATGGAAGGCACCATTCCCCCTTGCTGCTGGAGACTCCCTAATGATTAATTTCTATATTGAATCACTTTCAAATTACCCAAGTTACTCAAATGCCTGAAGTGTCTGGGGCAATTAACCAGGAACATGTGGCCATATATGCTACTTGCTAAGGTAAAATGGATCTGAGGTATGTTCAGCCTCCCCTCATGTCACTGCCTAGTTCACAGCATTAGCTTCTGGAAAGGGCAGTCCCACACAGTGCATTATTTGGTCACTGCTGCACTAAAGGAATAGTTTTGTTCTTGCCTATCCCTATTCCTTTCCCTTCTCCACTGCAGGTGCTCACCTGTTTCTGGCCTGAAGCATGAAGGTCAAGAGCTGCTTCTCTATCCTTGCCATTGGCTTGGTGCAGGTGCTAACCCAAGAAACGTAAATGCCCAATCCTATTTCGAGGCTGACTTGTTAGCTCTGTAAAATGTAACAGTTCGCAGGTGTTCGGAGGAATAGTTTAACACATTATCACACTTTTTTGGTGATTATTTTCATGGAACTCTTTAAATAACCATTAAGCTTTGACAGCACCAAGCAGAGGCAGCAGCTATTTAAAAATGAGGAGAGGGGTAAAAGCAGTGTGGTTGTAAAAAAAGGAAGCAGTAGGCTGCAGATAGCCAGCCTCTCCTTTGGGATCAGGCTGCCTTTGCAGAGCCCACTGCTTGCTTTGCCGGCACAGACCAATGATAGATTTTACTGTTGATTTCCATGGTGTTTTTCTGCCCTCAGTTACATCGCTGCTCTCATTTCTGCGCAAACAACAGTTCCTGCCTCAAAAGTGTGAGTGCAATTAAGGATAGATCTAACCTCACTCTTAAATTTAGCTTTTCTCCACAGTTTTCTCATCCAAGCATACATCTGGGTGGGATTTTGGCTCAACTCCAGAGCTCCCTGGAGGCTTCATGTCCAGCTGTGGCTGCTTCTCCATCATCCACTGGGCTACTGTACCTGTGATTTTGATGGATCAGGTGTAGGTATCATCCTATGTCACTACCTCATTAGGTAGCTAAGATTTAGCCTTGCCAGGCACAGCATCATCCTGTTTCCCCCTCAGATGTTTTTTGTTCACAGTAAAGCTGATCAAGGGATTTCCATCATGGCAAAGAATTATCTTTAAGGCTTCTATAGGGACATGCTTGCCTAATTCTGAAACTGTGACACAAAAAAAATCCCCAGCTCTGTATTTCTAAGGACTTTATCTACCTTAAACCCACAGAGATCCACAAAATAGGTATGTTTGTCTCTTCCTGGTGCACTGCCCTGCATGGCGAGCTCTGCCAGCCAGAAGCTGCTTTGGAAAGACCTTGTGCTTGAGCAGCTGGATTACCAACTCTCTGTGCATAGAGTGCTTTTTTTTCCAGCCCTCTCTTCCTCTCTGCAACATGCAGGCACACAACATATATAGCCTTGAGGCTGATTTGGTTAAAAAGATTGTTTTCAAGAAGCAGTGGGCGAAGTGTTATTAGGAATAACTGTCTGAGTGCAAACAGAGGCGCAACACAGAAGTAGTGAATGTGTAAATGTGGACTTGGACCTATTAGCTGCCTCAAACACATTTCTCACTTCAGTGTTGGCAATTTATTCTGTGCTTTCTCCTGTCTGCCCTGAAATAGGGGGAAGTGATGGCAGTTCCACTGAATCACAGTGCTGAAGGATGCTTTGTGTGTACACATGCATGTAGGTAGTGCTGAAAAGCTTCCTGCAGTTGCAGGGTATTTCTCTCAGTAGCACTAGGTGGATGATGGACCAGAACTTTCACAGCCTTAAGTGTAAGGGAGAGTAATTGGACAGGACAGAATTCACACTGCTTTTGATGGCCTTGGAAAACTATGTTTACCATAACTTCTGGAAAACAAAGATGTTCACATGTAGAAGGCCAAAAGCAGCTCATCCCACAAAGCAGAGTCAGGGTTAAAAGAGAATAATGGGAAGGAAAGTACTAAGGGTTAAGAAAGAAAGGGGAAAGGAGTCCTTTATCTAGGTATTAAAAGTTTAACCTAGTAAATCTCCCTCCTTCTCTTATTTCTGGGATAAAAATAAGAGCACTTGGAAAGCTTAAAGGCTAGATTTGAGAAGACAGCCGTGAGTGTAAGGATGCTCAGGCACAATTGGGGACTGTAGAAATCCCTAAGCTGCTTTTTCTTAGGAGGGGAAAAGAAAACAAACCA